TTTTTTTTTTTTTTTTTGGGGGGGGGGGGGTGTTATTCATTTCAGAGAGTCCAGCTTCCCTGTGTTTAGCTTCCAAAAAAACATGGTCAAAATTTTGTTACAACATTTTCATAATTGTGGAAATTCATCAGAAGAAACATGACGTGGTCCAAAGGGAGTGAAGTCCGCTATGGGTGACACCCTCGCTTGGGATTATATAGTCCATCCACCCTTGTGGCGCTTTGGAGAGCTTTGGCCTCCCTCTCCACTTCCTAGGACTCAGACATAACTGATGCTTTTCTTTTTCATGCTTTTGCTATCCACCTAAGCCTAGGTCTGCCTTTGAGCCATTTTCCCCCGGGGTTCTATTGGTTTACCCTCTTAACTCCTCTATCCTTACGTATTCTGTCTAAGTGTCCGCCCATCGCAACCTGCCCTTCTTTCTTTCTCCTGCTGGTGTGGGATCCTTGTATAGTCCAAACAATTCCTGGTTGGTTCGTATTTCCCATCCATATTCAATCTTCGTTGTTTCGTATATTTTCCGGATAATATTTATCTCCCATGTGTTTAATTAATAGGTTTTCTGTCCGTTTTTCGTGTTTTTCATACGCCGATAATGTGTTGGTTTTAGAGAGTATCTATTGGTTGTGAGTCTTGAGTTTCCCTCAGAAAGCATCCTCTGATTGTTCCTGGGGACCATAGGATCATAATGAACATTGAAATAAAGATCTTTAGGTAATTTCATTTTTAAAAAATAAACTGGTCCAATGACACCTAAATTTCCACTAGTGTTTCGTTTGTAGCGCGCCAATCAAGATGTGCAAAATTAAATTCAGGTATGCGTCTAAATGAACCCCTGCATTTTGAATTTAGCAAAATATTTATAGCATAGGGAGGGCCCTCATTTCCCAAAACCCATCTTTCTTGTTCAATCTATGATCTATGTTCTAGGGGTGAAACTAGGTTGAGATCAAAAGCATACAATTTTAGGGGGCACAATAACCGAAATGAATTGTTTATTTATGGCAAGGGTGACGGTGTCAGAGCTGGCCCTGGTCGACATGGATGCCCTGCTCCCTTCCCCTAAGCCTGAAAAGTGCCCCCCCCCCGCAACAAGTGATTATTTCAGAAATTTCCCCCCGGGGGAGGCACTTCAGATTTTTCGGGGGGGGGACTCTGAGTTTTTCGGGGGGGGGGGGGGGTTGACAGCAGTGCCAGTTGATTTATTAATGGACATCTTGGCTTTCCCCGGGGGTCAGTACCCTCCCCCCCCCCGAGATATAGCTGAAAGAAACCACATCCCATGAAAATTTCAGGGAGAAACCATGGTAATGGCGCATGGACCAACCTGAGCCTTAATGCTTTTGTAGACATTTCTTGAATAGGTGAGAAATGTATAGGGGCATCATTGCACAAGACCCTTAAGACGTCAATATATGCATGCTTCTTATAACTCTCTATAATAATGTTAGGTTAAATAGCAAACAAGACAGCGATTCTACTTGTCTAAGGCATCGTATAATCTGAAATTCCCATGCATATTAACACTGAACCTTTATTTTGTGAGTTGTTTAATGTTCTATGTGCCATTCTTGTATGTTTTGGGGATATGCCAAGCTCATTCAGATTCTCATATAGATATCCCCAGGTGGTTTCACGAAATGGAAAATAGACAGTTTTGACAGGATTAGCTCGAGTCAGAATAGATCTAAGTTAAAGAAAAGAATAAGAGAAGAAAAAAAAAGGGGGGGGGGGCATTAGTCACTTCCAGAGCAATGTGCAAACAGAGTAGGATTTCACAAGAGCAGACAGTCTTGGGGGAGAGCCATTGGGTAGGTCTGTGTTTGGGGATGAGAAGCACACTATAAGTTTACCGCTTTAGGTAGCATCATCCCTGTGACATCACCACCCTTCATCCTTGCCCAGTGAAGTCAGTGTTATTCATCGTTTGCTAATTAAAATAGTAAAACGACACTCATATAATGCGCGAAGACTTTCTGTAGAGGTAAATCAAATACAACATTTTTTCACAAGTAGACTAGGTATCTAAGTATTAATTGCTAATTAATTGAATTTTATTAATTTATTAACTGATGGTAAATTACAATTTGTTGGTTTATAGACGTTCCTTTCAATTTATCCGGCAACCGCATTCATGGGTCTTTAACTGGCTAACAAAAAAAAAATCAACTTGAATGGTAGGCCTACATTATTTATTCTTCTATATATTAAGGGCCCATGATCAATTTATTGATCATTTTGGCTCCTATTTATTTCAAATAGATTTTTTTCCCCTTCAAAAACTTATTAAAATATGTGTTGAATGAAAACATAATGCTGCTACTGTTAAGTTTACAAATAATATTGCCACTAAATGCTTTATCACTGGTTAATAATCTAAAATTTCTAAAATTGCAACCAACCAATCCTTGCTCGATACAAGTAGTAACATTTCATTATTTAATATCTAATAATATTCAACATTCATTTCAATAAGTATTGGTATTACCGGGTACTATAATTGCAGTCATTATTACATTGTATTCATATTTTTTATAAATACATATATCTATTTTAAAAGATTATATTTTAATTTAGAAAATTTAGAAAGAAAATTGATTTGTACATCCGTCTCTTAAAAAATATATCTTTAATTTACACTTTTCTACTCCCAAACTGGCAATACAGGATGTTTGTAAACAATTCCTGCTAATATAATGGCGACCGAAGTGACAGTTAAGATTTGGCAGAGGAATATAAATCAAGCATTACTTGTAGATGAAAAGGAATGGGGGATTAAACTCTCAGAACTGAGAGATCTATTAACAATTCAAGGTCTTGAAGTTCCTAATGATTATCGATTCTTAACCTGTTCTGGAAATATTGTCTCCACAACTTTGGAGCAGACGATCGAGTTCAAAGATATTTTGACGTCAACTGCGCCGTTAACTTCGTCGCAAAGAAAAACAGAGTCAGATGGTACATTAAAAGCGGAAGAATTGAATGAACAACTTAAAAATGGATTAAAATTTGCCGGTCAAATATGTCTTTTTCAAACTGATGGTACTCCAGATCCATTACATCACTGTGCATGCAGCATGAATATTCCAGGATCTCTGTCAGCATCTCCCTCAGGCCCATCACATGGAATAGAAAATGAAAACTTAAACATTGGCCAAGAACAGCCACAAGATCCACTTGCTTCCAAAGTGAATGAAGAATGCCATGGATGCCCAGCTCTAATGTTAAAAAATTGTTGTCCATTTCTGTATGATGCTCTTAAGCCAAAAAGACTACTGAAAGCTTTGTTGATTTTACCAATAATTTTAATAGTGCTCATGGCTGCCTTAACACTCACTCTACACATGGTAATATTCATTATTTTTTAACTTTCCACATCATATAATCATAATATGATGTAGTGTTTTCTCATGTTCAGACCATACACCCCAATCTAAAATCCAAGCAAAATGGACCCCTCAAAAGGGCTGAAACATCACACTCACACAGTTATTATTATTAGTAATTATTAGTAGTATTAGCTTTCTTTTCCAGCCTCAGGGACTATGAATACAAGTTTGATCTTCAATATGGGAAAGAAAAAATTAGCTTAATAAAATAATCTTAGTGACTGGGTGGGGTGAGATGAGCCCTAGGAATAAATGGTGATTATTTATATTTTAAAAATGCACAAATTCTTTTAAACTAAGCTATGTCTTACTTTAATTTAATGTATGACACTTACAATAAATGTGTAAGTATAATACTGGTAAAAAATAAAATATTTAAATTCTTGCTTAATTTCTTTACTGAATGCTGATGATTAGCATAAGTAAAGAATGAAGTCATTGTTTTTTTTAAATAAACAAATGTTAATATTATTATTGAACAAAAATGTAAGTAAACTTAAGATTTCTGTAAAATTAAAATCTTATTTAGTGAACTTTACTCTTCCCAAGTTAGCTATTTAATATGAAGCTTAATATCTGTTATCTATCAAGGAAAAAAAAAAAGGGCGACTTTACATTAATATGTATTATTTTCTTTAGATCTTTGGCATTACTGGAAGCTTGTCTCACAATGCAGGCTTTTCAAGCTTTTTGACAAAACCGTCAGAGAGTGATTCAGAGATGTGGATAAATATGAAAGTTAGGCTTTCAGAAATTGAAATGGCCAACAAATTTGAGATTCAAGATGTCAAAAGAAAAATATCTGAATTGGAAGATTTGTACCTCAGAGATTTGGGTAATTTTTTTTTTAAAACATTGGTTGAAATATTTTAAGAGGATTAAATATGGTTAATTTTGAATAATTAAGACATTAGTGCATTAATAACTCCATGATTTCATTTTCTTTTTAAAAAATTAAAATTACCAATTATCATGAACTTAAAAATCACGCAGTTTTTGTTTACAATTAAGAAACAAATTATCCTGTAAAGATTTTTATCGTTTGAAAGTCATAGAAAGAAAAACTAAATGTTTTAAGATAATTATATAAAAATCTTATTATTGCAGAGGTACAAAGAAGAGAGCTAACTCTGATAAAAAACAGGCAAGTAGATGGAGAGTCCACTTATGGTCAGAAGTTAGAGAATATGAGTGCTAGATTGGACAAATTGATCCTCATGATGAACGGTTTTGACAGATTAAATGAAAATTTCATAGATCAAGCATTCAAGGAAGATGGAGAAAAAGAAAAGCTGAACAAAGACCATGCCGAAAGAAATGGAAGTGAGAAGAGGAAAAATGGAAACCAGAAGAAAAAAGGAAATTAAAATTTAAGTTTTATCTTATATTTAAGTTTAAAACATGCTGAAATTGAAAATTATATGAAGAAATTAGCTAAAAAATAAAGGAAAGAAAATTATTACTTAATGAGTTGTGTTCTCCAGCTTTTGGAGGTGTTAATTTTATTTTTAATTTGATAAGCCTATATGATTGTCATGACTTCTTATCTAGTAATATTCACCAAAATAACTTACGTCCCATGTTCAATTTAAATTATTTATGCTATCAAATTACAATTTATTGAGTGACAAATTGCCTGTGTTATGTATACTTTTAAAATTTGAACCTAATTTAATAATCACAAGAATGAACTATAAGACATTTTCTGACTATTTGATTCATGTCAATCCTGATTTAGTTTTTGATGGATAATAATTTATAGATTTTTTCCAATTCAAAGAGATATGGAAATTGTAAAATTTAATAGAAAATAATGGTCAATGTCAATTATTTTCATTGGTGCCCATTAACATATCTGCAGAGCCCTTGACCATGAATTAAGATAACCCCAATCCCATGCTTCACAATTTGTTTATATACTGGGTAATTGTGTGCTTTACAAAAATTATGCTACATTATGTTTTGAATTATAAAGATGCAGTCATTTACTCAAGGGTTCCCAAATGCAGTGTATTTTGCTGCATTTTCACATCTCAACCATATCTAGTCACAAAGTTTGCCCAAACATAATCTATTATTGTTTTTATTTTAAAAAAAGACTTTTTCCATAATCAAAAATGTTCCTGTGCAGTTTGTTGCTATCATTATATTGAGTAAAAATTTTGCATTTTAAAGCCATCTGCAAACACCCAAAACTTTTTTTTACAACTTTTTATTTAGTTTGCTATGAACATGTGCACAGTCAAAGATAATTCTTTAAATTCATTTTATTTTACCATCCAGCACCCTACTGAGACACTCCTTACTTGGAGCCACTGCGATAAATCCTTCCGTTGTTCCTTAAATTTTTAATGTTGTCATTCGAGGTATTAATAAATGTTTAGTTATATTGAGATTAGAATCATTTTTAAAAAAATAAAAATTTGTTAATAAAAAATAAAGTTTTAGTTTTGTATTTATCATGAAATAAAACAAATTTTAAAAAAAAGTTACTGAGACTTACTCTATTCAAGACATCAGTAACATTAAAGTTAATTCTACCATGGCGGTGAGCTGACATTATTTTTCAACTCAAACATCAGGTATACAAAATATGTCAAATAATTCTGGTCATAGTTAATCTGTTCTGTTTATTTTGAAAAACTGATTCAATTATATATTAATGTGTGAAGTCATCAAATTTCAAATCCTATTCACTATAATTAAGCAGTTCTTGATTTAGGCAACTAATGAATTCCATTTCCTAGGAGTAATTATTTGCTTAGTACGGTATGCAAAATGTGCTACACTTTGACATATCCAAACAAATAGGGAACATTTTTAAGTACTTAGATTGCATTTAGTGGTACTTGAACAAAAAGAAATATACCACAATACATAACTACACATATTAAAATTTTTGTTATCTTAAATATTGGCATTGTCATTGATGCTGGATTTGTTGATAAATGAAACTTCTCTCATCTTAGTGCTCTTAAAATATATCTGAGGGTTTTGTTGGCAATAATAGGATACACCCGGTACATAATATAAAGTATGGGAAAACCTGGGGGGGAAAAAAAGGACATAACAAAAACAACGAATGTGTCAGCATAAAGCCTTCTTCAGCGCACAAACAAGGAATACAAATATAAAAATAAACTCTTAGCTGAAACTGAAATGTAGCATCCGAGATGACAGCAAGAGGAATGTCAACACAACATGTTTTCCCATACCTTGTTTCACATATTTCCTAGTACCGGTACCTAACCTGATTGTAGTCTCTCCACTCTTATATCATTGGCAATAATAGTTGGCTTTATGGCAATGTAAAAAACTAAAATTGTTCTAGGTGAACTTTTGCCTGTATCATTCTGTACAAACTGTTTAATACAAAGTACATAATGAAAAGCTACAAAAAATTTAATTTTAAAACAAAATGAAGAACAGCGAATTGTGGGTAGGATGGTCTTTATTAGGTACTGAAGACAACAACTGAAATAAATAGTTGAAAACTACCGTAATCTTCCCTATATAAACATGGTGGTGGTAACTTTAATGTACAGCCATCTCCCTATTCAGAAATATCCTTAATTCTTTACTAACAATCAACTCTTATTGTGTATCTATATCATGGTGAATGGAGCAGACAACAACACCAATGAATCTGGTAGAGACAAACAGAAAGAATGCAGACGTAACATGCTTTGATGAAAAAGTTGTATTTACAAATTACAAACTAGCAAAAAAACTATCTTTATGTGACCAAGAATCTGACCTCATCAAATGAAATTACTTTAAAAAAATTATGTATATGTATAGATGGGGCAAAAAATACATATATTAAGTTTTCATTTAAAAAAAAAAAAACAACATACATTTAGGTAACACCACAAAACATAAGAATGGCTTGATAAACGGTACATTCAAACAGCAAAAATGACCACAACTGCTGTTTAATTAAGCAGGCGTCAGCATTAAAAATATTCATGTAAAAATCATAAAACAAATGTTTTGCACTTGAATGCAAATCAATGATTCCAATTATCAAAATAATGACAACAGAGGACTTGTTTATAAAAAAGGAATCAGATCTAGGGGTAAATAACAAGATAAATATATACCTTTTAAAATGTTAAGTGCAATATGACATAAAATATTTTCTTTGTGACCTACAAATTTGGTAATTTTATTTAGAATAAGTTATTAGTATAAGCCTTAGTTCTTCCCTTATTGTGTAGTTCATTGAAAAACAATTTAAAAAAAATTATTACTCATAAGCGGTGACCAACAAAAAAAGGGTAACTTTTTAATATAATTTTGCTAAACATTCTAGGCTTCATTTAAATGTTCTACAACATTTTTGTTGTTGTTGTAACCTTACAATTAATTCTCTAGCATATTAATTTTTAGTTTTGAATTATATTTAAAATCACATTCATTTAAACTGTTCTTGAGATTCTTCAGAGATTCATTCTAACTGTCAAAATCAACAACTCCTTTGTCTCCAACCTCTTTAGTGAAAATGAAAAGCTGCTAGAGTAAATGGCAGATCTTCATCAAGGTAACCATAAACATTTCTGATGAATCAATGAGTTGACAAAAGATAAATGAAGATCTGAACCTTAATTTCTACTTCCGTCTTCCTCAGTTCCTGTGATCCAATTTTCCAGTGAATGTTGAAAATTGCTCTCCCTGTATGATGATATAGCATAAAACAACATGAATATCATTCCCAGGACAGCCCTATTCTTAGCGCCAAATATTGGATTGAGCATAAGGTTTTTAAAATAGGCTGGTTGAATGGTACATTACTTAATAGTCTGAAACTCAATTCTTTCTGATTGCATTATGAGCACTATCAAGTCTTTAAGAATTAGGCAACCAAACACTTTTTAAAATTAGCAGTTGCAAAGTATTTTTTCCATAAGAATGCATTGAAGCTTTTTAAATAATAAAATTGGGCAATTTAAGTAAAATTTAATTTAACCTATAATATGATATTGATACTAAGGCCTGATGCATAATTAAAAATCTATCCACTAATGAAAATTCTCAAAACATCTTTTTTTTACATCTCATATTAACAGGTTAGGCTTCTACAGAAACACTCAAGTGGGAAGAGCTGAATGAGATAGCATGAAAAATGTACATAGTAACTATTTACAAAATCAGTATTTAAAAAAGTTTATTTACATTGACATACAGTAGGTTCATATACTGAATAAAAATTGTTTCCAGCCCACCCCAACCCTCAAGTGGTTTTATGCAAAACTGCTTGTAAACAAAACAAAGAATAAAATATCACAAACAATTTATAAAATAAAGAGTGCACTAGAAACAAAAACAAGGAAACAAAATAATATTAATTATCTGGTCCACAGGACTCTTGAAATAAAAGAGCTAATTGTAATGAAGTCAAATGTTATGTCACCGTAACCTGAAATCTTTAGGAAATAAATTAACAGTGATGTGATCTTTTACATTGCAAAACATATGTCATAGGTTTTCATAGGTTCCATGGCAGTTTTCAGTTATTGTTTGTTATACAAAAATGATAAGGAGTTGGCAATATCCATCACATAAAATTATTTAGGCCCCTTTCACATCAAAAGATAAATGAATTTTTCCAAGTCAAATTTCAACAAGAGATCTTATTATTATTTTTAAAATATTTACTAATAATCTTCATCTTATTTGGATGAAATCCATTTACACCTACTTGCATTTGGAAGTCTTCTACAACGGAGCTTCTCAAAATTATTAGCCTGAAGTTTACAGAAAGTTACATGTTAAACTTAAAGACAAAATAACAATAATGAATACATGGGGAAACCAGTCCCTGTTGCAATGTGAATGGATTCCTACAGTTTTTTCACACATTAAAATTTGAGAAGCACTAAATCTACTTTATTGCTGCAGTTTTCAACCTTCTTCACCTTGCACTACACAAAAATAAACTATTTACTAAACTACTTCAACTTCAATACACCATTAAATTGTTAAGAAAAAATATCAGTCCTTTCTGTAAGGAGTATCAGGGAAAGTTTTAATCCATTTTATTATTGCAGGTGCCATCTCACCTGGAACACTCAAGGTTAATTAGGTTAACCCCCCCCCCCCCCCCAAAAAATAGAAAAAATATCAGTCCTTTCTGTAAGGAGTATCAGGGAAAGTTTTAATCCATTTTATTATTTCAGGTGCCATCTCCCCTGGAACACTCAAGGTTAATTAGGTTAACCCCCCCCCCCCCCCAAAAAAAAATAATCTTCATTATATTAATTTGTCCTTTACATCTTGCAACTTATGTATAATCCTTCTGCTACAAAAGTTGAAAACTGCTGTAAATATAAACATAAAACATCTTTTAAGATTTTTTTGGGGTGTCAAGGTAAGTTGGCCTTACCAAGACTTAAACACAGAGACTGATTGCCAAAACCAAACATCCTTGCATAATCAATGTAAGGTTTCTGAAAATATTTGCTACTGAAACTTTTTTTATGGGCTCAAACTTATCTGCTGTTTCATCATTTGGAATTCTGGAAATAGGTAAAGATTTAAATTTTTTTAACATCAGGACATTGCAAGCAAGTCAAAACTTAATTTTAACTTAAGGAACCTACATAAACATTCTACAAGAATAACTGGATTAAAGAAAACCCCAGAAGCATTAAAAAGAAAATCATTAATAGCAACCTTATGGCTGACTATTGAGCTTTACACTTGAAATACTGTATATGACAAATAACTAAGCTAAACTGGTATAATTAATAATTAATTTTCGCTAAAACATAGAGCAGTGTAACTGCTTAATTTTAGTTTGATATAACCATTCCATAACAAACCCAGACATTACAAAATTATTTTTTTTAAAATTCATTTATTTTTTATCTTTCCTACTCCTAGCAACATGTGACCACAAAAATTTTTTTTATAGAAAAAGTTATGCAATTAAAAAACATACTGAACAGTTTGAAAGAGTAACATCTAGATATGCACTGCAAAATTCTTTAAATCTCATTCTGATCATTGTATGAATGTATGGTGAAATGAATCCACCTGTAAGCTTGCAGGCAGGATAGAAGAGCATCTCTTGCCTTTAAGCACAATGCGTACAAAACTTAAATGATCTTTTTATCTCTTTACACCTTAATATTTCATTTTACAACTACTAAAGCATTATGATGGCTTAATAGAATACTAAGCATTGATTTTTGTTAATACCATCTGTTGTGTAGTTCTGAAACAGATGCAAAAAAAGTTCTTTCCTAAAACAATAATTTATAATTTGTATAAGTCTCATAATGCAAATACACAATTTTAAAATATACCTTAATTTTAGCTCATTTTTGAGGGTTAATATTTAGAATACACAAAATCAGAATTTGCATAAACACTGTACAATTTTAAAAAAAAACTGGAAATGATGATTCAACAATTAATGAAGAAAATATGAAAAGCTTTGTTGAACGACTTTTTTTTTTTTAATGGAAAAACTTCACAACTATTTTATAATGAAATGTCACAATGAAATATTTACAGTAATGATTGCTACTATATACATTCTGTACAAGCTCAAAAAAAAATATTAAAAAATTAAAAATTATCTACATCAACCACCTAGAGCAGTGACAAACAAAGAGATTTTTCAGTGCTTTATGTTATGTTACACCAAACAACTGGTATAATTTTTTTGGCATTAATTTTATCAGCACCTGTACCAGCACAGACTCGTTTTTATCCTGGGCACATTTAATGCAACCATAAAATGTCCATGCCAAATAAGTTTCACACCATTGATACTATCAGTGTCAGACAGAACCTTAAAACTTGGATTATTTAAAACATGGAATAATTAAAACAAAAAAAAAAAAAAAAAAAAACCCAAAAAAAAAAAAAAAAACCCAGTTCACAGGTGAACAGTTCATACAATTAGCTAAGGTATATTCATGTAATCTACAACACCTGATCTGCCCATGTTAATAAACATAAGTAATTTATATAATCCATGGAGATTTTTACAAATGTTAATACCAGTTAACATCGTAATTTCTAAGTGTGATCAAGCTCATAGCTTACCCTTTCAATGGATACCAGTAACAAAAAAAATAAGAACAAAATCATGCATTTTTCTGACAAACCTTGCCATTCATTTACAGTTACAGGCTCTAAATTAAAAATATATATATATATATATCAACACTCACACAAAATTTTATGTATACTTTTTGAAGAGCTTGAATTTATTACCATATGGACCCAAATATAACTAATGGCTACAACAACCCTAGTTACCACATAAACACAAACTTTTCATTTAGACAACATAAAGTATTTTATTTCCAGACCAAAATATTTGAATGCTTACTTGTGGACATTTATACTGCCCTAATTATAAAGTGATTACATATAACCAACAAACAAGCGGCTTAATTTATATAAAATCCGCAATGAGCTATGGGCTGTATCTAACTACCTGGTATCAGTTGTAGGGTATTAATATCGCTATGCTTTTTGCATAAAGACAATAAACTTGTCCAATGCTAATCTTACTATCCACTTCACATCAGTACAATAAAAAAATTAGTAGAAGCTACCAAAGAAACCAAATGTTTCATGTGAATCTAATGCTGTGGATCCAATTAATTTAAGGAGAAAACTGGTCAACGATATTCCTTTGAGAAATGCCAATTTAAAAACAGGTATGTTTACAACAGTAAATCCTTAAAACTTCAATAGGGGCCTCAGACAGCTATTCCATGATTGGCTTGGGACCCTTGCGCCAATGTATAATCAATTCAGAAATGTAAATGAGAAGCACTAACACCATTTGACTCAAATTGATTCATCTTTGATATTTTGATATGCAGATTAAATGTTATAGTCGAGTGCAAAATTACCACACAAAAAAACATTGCTAGTAACAGATAGGTTCTTGTGGTTCCAGCTAGCTAGTCCTTAGTGTAAACAAGTAGACAGCAATGGAGTGCAGTTATCTTTAAAAATCATAATTTCAACATCACACCCGTAATGTAAACATGAATTGCAGGTGTATAATTAAGGTCTTCGCACTTAGAAAAATAGCACATAATAATTCCTTATGAAACAATGGGTCTATTTTTAGAATAATACTTTTTAAGATCCTGACACAGATGCTGTCTGTATGTACCTGACCCCAATGATCAATACTGTATGTTGGTATTGTGTGTATTGACAGGCATTGGGCTTGCAGCAGGGTTGGGGTGAAGTTCCATGTGGTTTAGATTATCTGTGAGTTGCTGCTGCTGATACAAGCTGGTGAATGGCAAGCTGCCTATAGTGTGAGGGTGGGGGTAGGCGGGGGGATCATTCATGCCACCTCGACTGCCGCCCATATCTATGTGATGGTATACGCTGGGGTCACGTATCCCAACAGGGCTCATGGTGTTGCGTGTGGCTGAAAGATCCATGCTGACCCGCTGTTGAGCTGGCAATGGAACCTGCTGCTGGGTGAAGCCAGATGGATTGTGATGGAAACCATCTGGCGTTCCCTGCTGTGTCATCATACCGCGACTTCCAGGACGCTCTAAGTTTGTCATCATTGGATGGGGGCTCTGAATTCTCTGCTGATGTACGTTAAACCCATCAGCATTTCCCCTCTGACTCAGTGAATAGACGCTAGCTTCTCTCCGCATGTCAATTTCACTGAAATTGGCCAGACTTACAGGCATATCAATATTCCGAATATTTTGATTGGGAATTGAGGTCGGGGTGTTGTACCTTTCATTATTACTTGTCTGCATGACAGAGGCTGAGTTGTAGTCGCTACCTCCTTGGTTGTGAATAGGGGTTGGCCGCCTCATCCCTTCCACCTCATGTCTTGAAATTCTGTTGGCTTGATTCATTATTTCCTGCTCATGGGAGCCAGGCCTGGAGTTTTGTTGGTTTATCCGAGCTGTGCCTTGGCTGTGTTGCGATGAGCTGCTGTTTTGGCTGTTAATGGCAGACTGATTTGCAGGTTGAGAAGACTGCTGTGGGTTGAAGCCGTCTCCTTGAGTTTGGTTGTAGACTCTGTGTTCCTGAAGGGGACTGCCACTGTGACCATCTGGATCAATGTTCCCCATGTTGTCTTCATGGTGATCAGACTCATGGTCGTACCTTTCACTGTCGTCAGAGTGGTCTGAAGATGATTCACGACTGTGACCAGGTGATGGTCTTGTAGCTTCAGCATTCCCGGCACCATAAGCTGGAGACTTAAGAGTGTTTAAGTTTTCTAAATTGACAGTACCAACTGGTTTAAAGTCTTTGTACATTTGCTCATCTGCGGCCTGTGCTATACTAGCAGCATTCTTGGCATGTAGCTTCAAGTGACGTTGTAGGCTGTAGAGCCTAGGGAAACCCCGGCCACATATGTGGCACTTGAAGGGCCGTTCTGCACCATGCACAGTGCGAACATGAAGGGAGAGATTGGTGTAGCGGCGAAAAGCCTTGCCACAAACATGACATGAGTGAGGCCTTTCACCTGTGTGTATTAACATGTGTCGGGTCAGATGGTGCTGGCGCGTGAAGCCCATTTTGCACACACCACATGCATATGGTCTACGAGTCCAGTCAAGGAGGTGAGCTTTCGGTATTGGTCCGCGGGTGTGTAGTTTAACATGACGCTGCATATGATACTTACGGGTAAAACCTTTCCCACATATCTCACAACGAAACAAGCCATCCTCACCCACCCCAGTATGGTGCCCGTCTGGGCCTTCCATAAATTTTGGATTAGGAATTTTGATGTCAAAATACTTCTTCATGTCCATGTCTGATATGGCATTGACACCACTCGTTCCAGCAGAGGTATCAGGCAGATAGGAAGGTGTGGATGCAGAATTCCCCTGTGAATTAGTCAAGTTTAATTGGCTTGCTTGATGACTATTCAGGGCTTCAAATGTTAATGAACTTGTAAGATTAGCGTTGCTGGCCCCTGCAATTTGATTTGCAAGAGCACTACATGTCGGCATGTCTTCAATTTCTGGCTTGATAACGATATTGGGATCCATGAGGTCTAAAGAATTGCCATTTCTTTTAAGCCCACCAGCTTTGTAGAGGAATCCACTGTAATTGTCTTTCTGTGGCCCCTTCTTTGGAGGCGTGAAGTCCTCTGGAATAAGCTCAGAAACATCTATAGCATTATTTTTGTCTTCTTGAACACTGGCTATAAAACTATCATTCATCTTGGACAATGAGTGAGATTTCATGTGGTAGTTGAGATGGCAGCATTGAGAGAATGCCAGCATGCACAAGTTACAGACAAATGGCAGCGTGTTGCCATATTCTCTCCTGTGCTGCTCAAAGGAAACTTCACTGTTGAACGTTCCACCACAAACATCACAGTGGTGAGCATCAATGCGCCTATGGCCAGCAGCCATATGCTTGGCTAGTCCATCTGAACGTGAAAAAGACATGTTGCACTTAGAACATGAGAACGGCTTGACGTGGGTGTGAGTAAGCATATGTCTGTTAAGTGTGTATTTTTCTGCAAAGCCCCTGCCACACACGTCACAGACGTTTGTCTTCTCCTTTTTCTTGTGGTGACTCTTTTTCTTGACCTTTGTGGGGCTATCCAAACTCCCCAGACCCATCTGTGTTGGTGCGTTGGGCTGGGCCAGGGATGATTTTTTCTTGGAGCTTGCGGGCTTTTGGCTATTCACATGGGACCCACCCTGGGATGGGTTGACAAATGCTTTATTGCTCATACTTCCTGATCCTCCCAGGTTGCCAACAACATTACTGTTATTCATGGCATGGTTGTATAAATTGCCAGGTGGGGGAAGGGATGATGGGTAGCTGTTGGCAAGATTAGTGTTCGGAAATACAGGTGGGCTGGCATTACTGATACTGCCTCCTTTATCCTCACCTAGAATTAGCTTAGAGTAGATGTAATCATGGAAAGATTCCCTGGTCTCATGAAAATTGCCAGCTGCAAGCTCCTGGGCCAGAGTTGGATTGATTCCTCCTCCCAGAAAGGCTTGCCCAAGATTGGCTGCCATTATAATTATTATTGCTCTCAGCAAGCAAATGTAACATAACCCTTGATGGGTTATATAAAATCAGCTCCAGAGAATGTCTGTAAGAAAATAAAAGGTAGAAATAATTTTGTCATCTATTTATTATATTAATTCATAAATATTTCTCATGAATATTAAATGATATTATTTTAAAATAAATATCATCAGTTTATGTTAAAAAATAATACATAACTTCTTTTCATTAGTATTATATTTTACAATTAGTGTTTCATTTAATAGTTACTAGGTTTAAATAATTAAAACATATGTAATATCACAAAAAATGCAACTGAACAAATTCAAATTAATTGTATTTAGTCGTATGGATATGTCTAGATATTGTGCATATTCTCGAATTCTGGAATAAAACTGGACAGACACTCATATCTTTCTCGACATTGAATTTCACATTAAACTGGTCTGCTAAATGCCACTTTCTAATCACATAAATTGAAATAAAATAAAGAAAATTTTGTAATATTTCATGGCACCGACTTTGGGAACCACTAGAATAGATGATTAGGGCATAACGTTAAAAGTTCCACCTTCACAAAACCAATAGGCTATTAGTGTTAGGCCTAAATACTAACAACCCAAGCTATTCATTAGATACTATTCACTACAAAACGAATTAAGTTTAAGGGGCTATCCATAGTTGATGTCATGTGTCTTGGAAAGGGTGGGTTGGGGGGGGGGGGGGGAAATGTCATAGTATATTAAATTTTATGAAGGGGTTTATTGTTTGATTAAGATTTTGTACAATAGGGGGGAGGGTAAAAAAAATTGGGCGAAAAACCAATTTAAAAAAAATTTAATTTTGGGAGAGGGAGGGGTAGGGGGGGGGGGGAGAAATGTCATAGTATATTAAATTTTATGAAGGTGTTTATTGTGTGATACAGATCTATGACAATAGGGGTGAGGGTACAAAAAATTGGTCGAAACACCAATTTACAAAAAGTTTAATTATTTTAATTAGGCCTAGGCCTTAATTATAAAACAGGCCAGTTACTACTCATAAAATTTAAAAAATCTTGAATGATATATCACAGATACCGGTACATAAAATCAGGGTATTTCTTTCCCACAAAGTAAGGACCAAATATATATTAATATTTTTTATTTCATTCCGCAATCTATTAGATTTGCCTCTTGTCAATATTGTCATTAAGAGTGCGAGTTCTTTTTTTTTCTTGGCCTAAATCATGGCTGATTTTTTGCTCTTGATAAAAATATCAGATGTCTAGTCTTGTTAATGTCACTCTTAAATTGTTCTATTTTAAAAGTGTAATCTTGGTAAGAATATTTAAGCCTATCCATGTGCTGAAAAGGAATATTTACAATGTAGGCATAGGCTGGGGTAGGAATTAAAAACACATTTCCATTTTGACCTTTGATTAATTTTTATTGGGAACAATGAAACAAACAAAAAAATTCTTATATTGTATATATTATACAGGCTATAAATAAATCCTACATAAATTATAATATCATAATTTATTGGCAAACTCTTTTATTCATTCACTAGGCCTGAGACATAACTGAAGCCATGGCAGTGCTGAGTGTTGTGAAAGTCTACTATAAATTATAGTTATAGACCTAAACTTATTCTAAATACTAATATATTGAAAGGAGAAAAATGGAAGCTACAATCAGTGGATTGTAACTCTTACTGTTTTTTTTTTAGATATGAATTTAATTCTGCAAAGAATTCGTGATTACCTAAATTACGCTTAGCAAAAAAGGCAATTTTTTGTTAAATAAACAACAGCCACAGCTAACAAAAAGAGATTATCGATAACAGGTTATTTATATAAGGAAGATTTACGCCACCATGACATTTAAGTTGCTTTAAAATCGAGTTTGTATAGTACTCGTCTGTAAGGATTAATAAAAAACTCAGAGATTTTACTCATCATTTACCTAAACTTTTTCCAAAAAATAGTGAAAATATTGGTTTAAATGAACAAAAGATAGCTATTTTTCCCCCCAGCGGGTGGGAAATCAATGCAAGCAACCCGGAAGTACAGATTCGAGTAATTACGGCAACGGATCAAATAAGTATCGCAGAATTATTATTTCCTTTTTCTTGTCGTAAAAGTAGTTTTTTTTTTTTTTTTTAAATCTAATAATCATGACGAAACTTTTTCACTTCATTCCACCCCTTGCCTAATGCCAGACCTTAGGCACTAGGCCTATAGTGAGAGGATCATTCAATTTTAATGAATTTTTATTAATTCTCAGATGTCCGCAGAACCAGATAGGCCCCAAACACCTATAAAATCAATTATGCATGGTTTAATAAGACTTAAGAAATATATAAATTATAAAGTTTTATTATAAATGGTAGGGGGAATCCTGAAGAGGGGCAGTGACCGTTTCAACCAAAAAAGCTATAGGCAGCAAAAAAAAAATAATAATAATAAAATAAATAAATAAATAGGCATAGGTCTTAGACATGTCTGCTACGGTAGTGGGTTTTAAGATAACAAACGAAAGGCACTGAACAATATATTCATCAATTAAATTAACTGAATATCTCGCTAAGGTGACTTAACCATAAATCTTGCTTAAACTCTTATAAAAGAAATGTTACCATAATGAAATTATATTTGTTTTGTACTGTAATTCTATATTGAAATCGCATCATAATGATTCGAGAAAACTCTTAAAATACAGCTTGATAGATGATATTCGTGCGGAGATACTCATCTTCCATCGAGCACTTCCCCAGGTGGCGGACAGGGGAAAGCCCACCAGATTTGATGGGTGCCGTGGAAATAAAATACCTGGGACGGACCAAAATCAGAACCTATTGCCTTGTAAGAAGTGGATGAATCCATTAAAATTCATAAACGCCAAGGAACCTTACCCCGAACATTAAGGCAGCTGCCCAGACTGTTATAAGGGGTGGCCCAGCCCCCACTCCCCTCCCCACCCTCCCACCACAGACCGTTGTGCGTTGGCTAACAACCCATCCGTGTACAAGAATTAACGTTACGAAAGTACAAACTAAATCCTGGACTGGGGGGGGGGGGGNNNNGGGGGGGGGGGGGGGGTTGTGGTGAGGAAGGCCAAAGCCTTACATGATGGGCTGTCGTAGCGCCACGGGGATGGCTTGACAGATGATAATGGCGTAGCTGTTTATAAAGATGTGAACAATATTTCTGAACAGCTCCACCAGCATATTTCATCCTTAAGATAATTATACCTCATATCTTGTTCTGCTATTTCATATAATTATACGTGTGCTATAATGAAAGTTTCGAAATGAAAATAAAATATCCTAAATTTCACACCACTTCGCACCAAGACCGACACGGGTGTGTCTCAGCACGTCACATGAAAGTTACAATTAAAATTCGAAGTGACGTTTTGATATTTCTTTTCTTTCCGTTTGTAAAAAAAAAAAAAAAATTCGAGTCACAAACCACACCGAAATCTCAAATTGATATTAAGAGCTTAGACATGTAGATAGACCAACATTAAAGTCAAACAAGTTGAAAATAGGAATCGCTGGTATTTACAAAATCACTTTTTTTCTAATTCCTGAAAATGAGAACTTGCTGTATAGACTGGGAGTCACACAAGGGACAAAACATGTGTGAAGCATAGAAAATGTGTCTGTGAGAATATTGGAACGTTGGATTGGAGAGGTTAGACGTGAGTGGTTTATTATTATTATAATATTTTTTAAAAATAAATGTGGGTTCGCGCCCTACGCCGAATGCTCAGTTCACACGATCAAATTTTCGTCAAATTTCTTTGAAACACAAAATAGTGCGTTCAAAAAGTAATTTGACGAAAATTTAAGTAAATGCAAAGAAGAGGTGCCATGAGGTCATTTGCGTGTTTATTAAAGTTGCCGTGAATTAGGGTTCAGGTAAGGTTTAGGGATACATTTACTTAGGTTTAGTGACAGAATTAACGGGTCTTGTCAACCAAGATGGCGGCCATTGGAAAAAAACAAAAAAACATGGCATCTCTTCTTTACATTCACCAAAATTTGATCGTGTGAACTGAGCATAACTGCCTTGCCATGTGAAGTTAACAACCCACAGGAATATAATATAATATGTTTTACTTTGGGGTTTTAAAAAAAATATTTTAAAAAAAACACTTTATATTAGCTTCATATTGGCGATATGTATAAACATATATTCCTATTT